TTTGATTATAAGTTATCCTGTCACTTGTTTGCCATGTTTGTTTATGTATATATATATATATATATATATATATATATATATATATATATATATTTTAAATCTGGTGCTCCTTATCTGTAATCCTTTCGCTACGGCAAGATTGATTAATCTCCATCCATTATCCTTTGAATTAGTATGTAGGCTTTCTATACCTGCTACATTTTTATAGGTGTTTTTTCTTCCTATGTGTTGCATTGAAATCTCCTAATACAATCAATATGTCTCGTTTTATAACTTCATCTAGGATATTCCCAAGAAGATTTTACAAATCTTATTTAATATCATCTTCTTTATCTTCCGCACATCAATCATCGTGATATTTTTCCATTTTCCTCTTATTTGTAACTTACTGATCCTATCACTAACAGCATCAGGCATAAAGTAAAAGTAAAAGGTAAAGATCTCTTTTCACGTCTTAGGCGTATCAGGTATATAGGAAGAGCGCCCATATTTTTATAGACCTTCGGCACTGGGTGGGTAATGTGGTCAACATTACTCCGGCTGTCTTTACTTCCCCAAGACAGCCCATCCTGGTACCCATTTTAGGCTACGTTGACCTGCAACGCTCCATACCATGATAAAAATCCACGGATCGGCAGTATGGTAAACATTATCTAGGCTACATTTACTTCACATAACTTGTGTGAACATGTGTGTGTGTGTGTACGAGCAAGCATGTGTATGTGTGTTATTTATTTTGACTTAGTGTGTTGTTTCTGGAGATTATTCACGGGACTTCCAGAAGTGTACTGAATAAGCCTAGGCAGCTAATCAGTTGTTTCAGTTATTTAATTACAAAGACTACACTGCAAGGAACATTGGGGAATAATCAAAGAAAAGGGAAAAGGTGGTGGGAATGGGGAAAAAGGGCGGGGGGTTAAGATGAATCTGGAATGACAACATCAAGGAATGGACTGGATTAAATTATTATACACTTGTTCGACAAGCGGAAGACAGAGAAAGAAAATGGATTTTATTTGTTAGTGCTTCCATCAGTCATGGCTTATGTTATGTCAAGACAACTGTTTGTCTTAATTTTAGACTTGATACGTCTGAGCTACCGTATAACACTAGTCAGTACCACTGTCTTTGTTAGCGCTGGACATCCCAGACTTTGCCTACGAATTATGACACTAGGATGCATTAGAGACAACTATCCTTATTTTCCTAAGACGAAAAACAATGGTTCTTTACGTCTCTCGCACATGTGGGATGTTCGAGACTTTCGGATAGTTATGCCAACTGTGTGAGCCACAAAAAGTTTTGACACTTTCACGTTGCTCTGAGAGACTCCCTCGCTCCGTTTTACCGATTTACTTGGAACGTTATTTAAATAATATCCAATCGTTGAAACAGATGGCCTCCTGTCCCAAAATTCAACTTCTACTTGCAAATATTTGAACAGGACCCTCGTTCTATAGCAGTGCTATTCAACTAAGTTCGCTCGCAGGCGAAAATGTTGAACATGGAGATCGTCGCGGGCCAGTCCCCTGAGCTCACACTACAATTGACAACATTTTCAATTTGAAGATTTAATACACTCGAAAACTATAACGCCTAGGACTTAGCCTATATAAATTGAGCAGTGTTGTAAACCATTGTAAAGTGTACTACAATATTCTGTAATGATTAATCAATACTCTTTTTAAATTCTTCTTTTTTTTCTTTTTTTCTTCTTCGTATTCACCCGGCTGTAAACTGCAGCGGAAAGTTTTGGTTGTACGTCTACTTCTGGACTCTAGTCCTGTTCCAAAAAATGAGTGTTGCGTACACCTCCGTTTTACACGTCATACTCTTTTGCATGCAGACTGTGGGTTCCTTGGCTCTCAGGCAGATGCACTCCGACTTCGAGGGAAGGCTCCCAGTTAGTCGACTCTTGTGACATTCTTTTGGATAGGCAGTGAGTCTATTCTCTTTGCCCCACAACAGGCTCCCGGAACCCACACGGGGATCAATGTTAATTGAAATACACGTATTTCTAACTTGTCGTTGGGATCATAAATAAACCTTACCGTTGTCACTTCCATTACATTGTCACAATAATAACAATAATAACTGTCCACAGTTGGTTTTATGTTCTGCAGAAGAAACCGAAAAAGTATAACGAAGCAAGATGTAATTAAAGGAAAATGCTGCATTTTCGTTTTTGAGCTAATTTTACCAAATTTGGCTGGTGAGAAGTTAGAGCAATTATCATGCAATCCTGCAGCGTATCATTGCTCAGTAAGCTCCGAATGTTTGTCTTGATGACAGTAATGTGTGATAATCCTGATTCACAAGTGAAAGTTGAACCAGACATGGCAAGTATGAATACAACAACTTTTCTAGCATTAGAAAACTGCTCCTGTTGAATCCTCTCGTACCAAAACTTGGCGGTACCACTGTCTTGGAAATCTTCATTCACTGAGCAGGAACTTTTGATATCCACAATTCATTAAAAGTAGATAATTTAAAACACTATTACTGAATCAGTTTGTTACTGTACAATCGCGTCCTTCAGTCTACTTCTGACTGTGACTTGTATGTGACTGGACATTCTTCGGGGTGTTATTATCTGACAACAAGATAACTAGCAGGTATTCTGTGGTGTCCAGTGTCACTGATGTTCTGCTGCATTCAGTGTCATTAGTTTGTTTGCACTAGTAGCGTCCATTAAGTAGAAATTCTCTTTAATCTAAGTTATAACTGCCAGGACCGTGCTAGTACTTCCGTACACCTCCTGTCCAATAAATATCTCACCTCCACTGAATGTCCAGTGCATCGGTGGCCTTTCTACCTGTTACTTGATTCTTTCCAGCCTATCTTATTACCATTGGCTTCAAACAGGAGAGTGAGTTTTGCTATTTGAACGAACTGGGAACGAACATTTACCATGATCAAATTACTTATGCTGGTTCCCTCGTAACTTCGCATTTACAGATTTCTGACAAACACATCCTATTGACACCTGCGACACGACTGATGTTTGAAGAATATATAGAAACATTGATTGATTTAATTTTTTTCTTTTTAATAACTACATTTCACTATTTTGGCACAGTTAGGCGGGCCACTTGCAAAGCTTCGGCGAGTCAGACTTGGCCCGCTGGCCGCCAGTTAATAAAAAAAAAATGTTCTATTTACTGAAGAAAGTTTGGAAATATTAAAACAACTTTCAAGAATATCATTTAAATGTACGTTAATATTATTCTGTTTTGTATTAAATTTTTTTTCAAATAAAATGTAATCACTACTATTTTAATTTGTTGAACTAAACTAAAACAGGCCGCCCATCTTTTAGGTGCTAAAGTACAACACTTAACTGACTGACATATGAAGGGTTTGATGTTGAATCAACTGACAAACTAAGATAGCCAGAAATTCAAAAATAAGAACACAGAACTTTTGTACCCCTATTTAAATGAGTTCCTTGCCGGTGGTTTTGGACAGATAAGAAGAATCCCTTTTCCAGAATTCCCATATTTCAGTATGGGGAATGGTCAACGTTATGTGACATTTCCAAGTCTACTGATAATGTCTCTTCCTCCCATGGCACGTCTTTAGTGTGTTTAGTGGTTAATACGGGCCTGGAACTACCATATCTAGATCATTGCCACCCCGCATCAGTTGCTTTTGTGGCTACTAACGCCCTCTAGGAGCGTTCTCTATAATCTTCTTCTTCTTCTTCTTCACTTCCTCTTTTACCGCTGTGGGTGTCGAGGGAGATATAAGGTTCTGTTTCTAGCTCTTCTGGCTGCCTCGACCATAGGCACATCGTGCTGTTGTAGCGTTTCTCTGATGTTATCCTTCCATATTGTTCTTGGTCTACACCGTGCTCTTCGTCCTTCTTCTCTTTCCATGTATGCTTTGTATGGTATGGTGTCACAAGGCATTCTATCTAAGTGGGCAAACCATTTCACTTGCTGTCTTCGTATGTAATCCAGAATTGGTTCGGTGCCGACTTGTTCTCTTATGATCTCATTCCTGATCTTATCTCTTATGGTCACTCCTACAGCCCTTCTCAGACATCTCATTTCCGTGGTTACTAATTTTCTTTTATGGTTTGTTGTGAGTGGCCATGTCTGGCACTGGTAGCACAGTGTTGGAATAAATATGCTTTGAATAAGATGTCTCTTTGTGCTGATTGGGATTGTCTTATGCTGTAAGGGGGAAAAGGGGGGGGGGGGGGGGGGGCTAGCTGTCCCAATACTTGGTTAGCTTTACTGCATCTAATGTCAACTTCTTTATCCAATTTCCCATCTTCCGTAAATGTAGTTCTCAGATATTTAAACTCAGATGCCTGTTTAATGCCTTTGTATTCTATTGCTATGTTTAGATCTGTCTTCTTTTTTCCTATTGACATTACTTCTGTCTTTTCAGTGTTGATTCTATTTAATAACAGCAGTAAATACGATCCGTCTAGCTAGCGTTTGTTCTGAGACCACCGACAGCAGTTTGGTTCGCATCGGATCCATGCGGTGTCAATGGTATCATAGTTGTGTCTGTCAGTAACTGCTGGCGGCAAAGCACTTTGAAGTCTTGGTGCCTCCCTCGTTTCTCTTCCACAGTCACGCACAGACTTGTGGTGGGTAGGTAGTTGTACCCCAGCACAACATCATTCAAGCAAGAATCACCCGGTGACAGAAAGCGCCACCATGCGGATAAGGATCACCCGTGGAGAGGTCCCAGAAACCCCTTTCAGCCGTTAGGCCATATCTATGGCTAGGCCACATCTATGCCCCAGCTATATTCATAGCCCCCGGCAGAAGCCAGTGTGGGCATTCCAACAAAAAAATTTAGTCCCACATGGGGACAACTTTGACATATAACAGACTTGTGAGAGCAACATACAGTCACGCACAGACTTGTGAGAGCAACATACAGTCACGTGAAGACTGGCACTGAAATCAAAAACTTTTCTCTACTCTTGAGGCATATAATCAGATTTTTTTTGAAAAAAAAATATACATATATATTTTCAGATACACTAAAGAACTGTGACAGGCATTATATGCTAATGCCTGAATGCTCACCTTGGATAGGTGTCAACTCAAATGAATGTAATAATACGGTAAGATAAATATGAATATTATATGAATGTAATAACACCTGGCACGTGTGCACATGTAAGCATGTATTCATGCATACACGTAGACAAATACTTATACACACTCTCACACAATATATGTTGCAAATAGGAATAGCATGACCATTATGGGGAGTCAATATTCGCGATCCTTAAATTGCTCAAGATCCTTCCCCAGAAGTGACACAGGGAGTTTTCATGTAGTATTTTCCTACCGGTGCTAAAGCTTATACAGTGGTTCGGTGTAAATAAGAAAATACACAAATCGATAGATCAAGATGAGACACATCACCCTGGGGGATGGGGTATTTATAGTTAGTCGGGATGGGGATGGGGGTTATGTATTGAAGGGGGTTGGATGCAGTAATTTAATGTTGCTAGTTGGCTGACTGTTCTTGAGGGAGGAGGGAGGGTGGTGTAAACTGATGTAACTGTAGGCGTATATAGGAAAACACTCGAGCGCTCCGTGGGATGTAGAGAATTATATAAGGAAATAGTGGGGTGGGGGAGGGTTTATAGCAAAATAGTTGACAATGTGCATTAGACTTGATGTATGAAAGACTTCACAAGTTGACCAACATTGAAAAAGTCACACGTTGTCCCACAGTGAAAAAAAGATGTCAAGGTGTTCGACAGTGAAAGACCTGGCATGCCGACCGACAGTGAAAGACCTGGCATGCCGACCGACAGTGAAAGACCTGGCATGCCGACCGACAGTGAAAGACCTGGCATGCCGACCGACCGTGAAAGAGCTGATACGATGTCCGACAGTGAACGAGTTCAGGATAAGTGCGATAGGAAAACATTTGACAAGTTGACTGGCAGTGAAAGACTTGACAAGGTGATCGAAATGAAAGAGTTGACAAGGTGTTTGACAGAGATGACAAAGCGTCGGACAGTTAAAAGAGCTGACTAGGTATCCATCAGGGACAGAAGTGACAAGCTGTACCTCAGTGAATGAGGTGACAAGTTAACTGACATTTAAAGAACTGTCAATGTGGGCAACGAACTCAAGCATCTTTTGGAATAGATGCTGGCAGGGGCGCCAGGATATGGTCGTTCCTACAACTTCAGTCCACCTCTCAACCAATTATTTTTTTCCGGGGGGGGGGGGTGGCTGAGACCCCCTCCCTTGCCAAATGCAAATGGAAGCTAAGTGCCTCCCCTCAGCCACATATAGACGTTCTCTGTTAAGTATTTGTTTGTGCATTTCCCATTATATCAAATATATTTGTATATTTCATTACCATTAAGCGCACATACATTATTATTGTTGTGTACTTGAACAAGGCTTACCCCCTTGACCACCGCCTTTTCTAGCCATCCCCTGGAAAAAATTATAAGAGAGCCGCACAAAATGCAGATAAACAGACGTCTAATTACATTTTAAAAAACCAAATTATTGTGTTTCAATAATTGTATAGATAAAACTATGGTGGACATAGTCACGCGGCTGGACTTTGCAACATTACTTCAGAAGTACTACAACTAAACGGTATACAGTTTCACCCAATATATGCCCTCAGCTAACAATTGATAACTGTCTTCATACCTTCCATAAATACGTATTGTTTTTGTTACTGTGGCAAAGAAACTCACCAGTCATTGTAACATTTCATACCTATTGTGATCTCTAATACCGAATCTTGTCTTGGAAACTGAAGAACATTTGGCTATGATCAAACACTAACAGTGCATTGTCGAGAACTTAGTGTGAGGGCATTACGCCGGGTAGTAGGGGTCGGGGTCGACCAGCACTAAGATGGGCAAAGGAGATCTGAGATACTTTAAGCAGGACTCTCCATGAAGAGGGAGAGAATTGGTGAGGGACCGTGTTTTATTCAGGCTGAATGTAACAATACCAACATTTTGTAAAGGATCTGCTACATGATGATGATGATGATGTGATACTTTTCAAAATTTGTTTATTACAGACCCGTCTACGAGAGATTGGATTTTGGAAAGCTGATCAAGTGAGCGAGATGCTGAAATCTGTCAAAGAGCTCCAGGACCAGCCTAACTCTATCGTTCTACTAAGCGTTGGCCTTCACTTTCAGTTTAATTTGCAGGTGGTTGAAAATAAGGTGAGAGAAGTTTTAGTGTTCTTTGCAATGTTTGCTATGGTGGACGAAAAACGAAAAATTGCTTCCCCCAAGGGGACGACGTATATCAATTGGGTAATTAATAATGATATGTATGTATAATTTCTCGTTTAACCATATTACTTTCCAAATTCCTTTTCTATATTTTTTCCCTATATAGACTATAAATTAACAAAAGCAAAGATATCATAAATTATTTGTTATCTTTTACAGCACCCTCAGTTCCTCACCGTTTGTTAACCTCCGTAGATATGAGAAAAACTGAAAATCGATGTAAACGCACAATTCTAGGTGCCGTCAAATCAAAAATCTATTGCAAAAATGGAACAGGCAACCGACATCCACCTATAAGACACACACACACACACACACACACACACACACACACACACAGGAAAGCAAATTTTGCATGCTGAAATATGGAAGAGATGCTAAACCACCCACGGCAGAACATTTGGCTCTATGGAACCACAGTCAAAGAACACGCTGTGGACGCATGCACGCAGGATGGCTTTTCTTATAGACAAAAGTTTAGCCATATAGGTCTAAGAGACCGAAACTATTGATAACTCACTATAAAGTCTAAAAGGGAACATGCTGAGCTGTCCATTTAAAAAAAAAAATCATGTGCAATGTATTCTATCTGACAACGGCATCAATGGTAATAAGAGCGCTGACAATTTAGCCAAGGTTGTGGGCAATGTCAAACAACAAACATACCAGCCACTCTTCTTTCAAGAAGTTCCAACAACAGTCTAGCAGCCACTCTCCTTTTCAGAAGTTCAAACAACATATCTATCAGTTTACCCTGCCAGTGGTTTTCAGATGAGAAGGTCACGGGCCCTTGAGAAGTCTGTAGTGTGAGCCATGTCTTTCACCTTTTCATACAGCTTTGTTTCCAATGGAATGCCAAGTGATAAAACCTGGGATTCCACTACTGCATGTAGCAAGCATATCTACCAGTGCCTTCGTCCTGAGCCCACACAAGAGAATGTTTTACAAGACTGCCCGTTCCTGGGAGAGCTGCGAAACATGTGGTTAAACCCAGCAGAGCAGACCGGACAGTCGAGCTTCGAGGAAACCTATGAGACTTTGAGCTGACATCCCAGTTTATGCTGCACTGTGGAATAGGCGTCTGGCTACAGGTCGTTGAAGAAGAGGGAGAAGAACAAGACGGAGAAGATGAAGCAGGGACAGAGGAAAAAGAAGAAAAAGGAGAGGATGAAAAAGAAGAAGAAGAAGAAGAAGAAGAAGAAGACAAAGAAGAAGACAAAGAAGAAGAAGAAGAAGAAGAAGAAGAAGAAGAAGAAGAAGAAGAAGAAGAAGAAGAAGAAGAAGAAGAAGAAGAAGAAGAAAAAGAAGAAAAAGAAGAATTCTCCTTTTTCTATATTTTTGTATCTCCGGAAAACCTAAGTTTAATTTTGTGTGTGTGGCCCGGTGGTATCCAGTGGGATGACATTATAATTATACCTTTTTTTTTCCAAATTTTCTCAGCGTGTAACCTATTTGATTTGCTTGAATGTGTTTAGTTCCGTCCCTTTTCTTTTTTGTGATTCTTTTTTACCATTCAAAAATTATATGGTACAGATTCAGCAATGTGAGAAGTTTAAGCAATCAAATTTAATGGTCCCTGTGTGGGTTCCGGGGCCCTATTATAGGAAAAACAAGAATAGACCCACTGCCTACCCAAAAGCATGTCGTAAGAGTCGACTAATTGGGAGCTTCCTTCGAAGTCGGAGTGCATCTGCCTGAGAGGCAAGGAACAGTCTGATACAAATTAGTCAGATATGTCAAACGGGTGCACACGCAACACTCAGGTTCTGGAACAGGACTGTAGTCCAGAAGTGGATGAACTTTTCGCCAGAGTTTACAGCCGGTGAACTCGAAGAAACAAAAAATTTTTGGAAAAAAAAGTTAGTGGCAAATTATTTTCATTTTTTTGGGTGAAAATATTGTGGTTATCCTCCGAATAACGGTCCCAAATTATCGAGGCCGAAAATATACCCTAACAGGGCCTCAGTCACATGTCACTTGCGGACTTCCGGCGACTTAATTTGCGCACTTCCGGCAACTTCCACCTCCGCTGAGAGTTTCTCCGACGCCGCTACGTGCGGCGTTGATTGGGGCTAAACTAGATGGCTGGGACTCACGAGCAGCAGCTACTGCATCTCCTGCAGCTTCCTCCATTTTATTTGCTTGTGAGTCCTATCCATTTAGTTTAGCCCCAATCCACGCCGCTACTCTCGGCGGTGGCGTTATAGTCCCCGGAAGTTGGCAATTGACATGTGACTAAAGCCTTATTAGGGTATATTTTCGGCGTTGATAATTTGGGACCGTTATTCGGAGGATAGCCAGTATTTTTTTTTTTTTCATATTGAAGGATCAGCAGATCGAGTAATCAGAATAGTGTAAAGACGTGATACTATCAGTTAGTATTAGTTTTAAAGTATCTTATTCATTTATTATTCTGCCCCCCCCCTGCTTTTTTCCCCCACTTAGGTTATGAACCCCCTACTGCTGAGTCTGGCAAATTCGTCTTGGCCAAAAGTGATCTGGTTATCTGCGCCATCAGCTGGACTAATGAAATCTCCAGGCTACAAATATCAACAACAGGAAAATGGTATACAATACAATCTCAAGGCTAACGATCTTATGAGGAGAAAAGGCATTCCTGTACTGGATTTCTTCAATATGACTGAACCAGTGATGAGCTTCGATGGAACACATCATGGTGCAGGAGTCAATGACCTTAAGGTCCAAGTTCTTCTAAATTACCTTTTAGAAATTAAAACCA